AGATTTCGCGCTCATCCAGTTGTGTTTTTGCTGCACTTCCAAGTTCCGCCTTTTGCGTTCTGTCAACATTGCGTTGTAAATTAAAATTTAGAAAAAAGATTGACATTTGTGAATCGATTCAGAATCGTCCACGTCCGCAACACGATGCATCTAAGAATCGATTTTTCCCCCACCCCTAATTTATATATTAGCACCTTCCTGCGTCCCTGAACCATACAGTCCAATACAGTCAAAAGTTTGGACCCACCTGACTGAATGTGCTTTTTCATAATCTTGAAGACATCTTAATTTAAGGGCTTAGGTTAAAATGCTTGAAGATTGTTTCTAAGACTATATCAATAGTGACATTGATGCCCATGTACGAATATCTCCAAAACAGAAATTTTAAATGTATGTTTTTAAAATGCCCAGTAACACATGATTCCGATCCTCCAGCATAGTGTGAGCATATGTGAATGTTCTTCAGTCCTGACGCAAAATGGCTCCTCGTGAAGCTGCCTGAGAAAACGTCAAGAGTGTATGAAGCTGAATCAAGGCAACTATCCTGTAAAATCCAGGCATATACATTCACACACACATTCACATCTAGGGGCAATTTAGCATCTCCAGTTGGCCTGACTGCATGTCTTTGGACACCCAGAGGAAACCCACACAGAAGGATCCTGGTCACCTGGAATTGAACCCAGGCACTCCTTATTTTTGCTCAAATGAAAAATGTATCAAATCGAGACACCACTGTACTATATCTAGAGGGGGGCGATGTGGGGAAAAAAAAGTTTTCACGACATGTTACATCATGATATATTTTTTTCTGATCTCTGACATTGGATAAAAATAACTAAGAATGAACATTTCACATACTGTGCTGAACTATATCCAAATAAACAGGACTGATTATGCTCTCTTTGTAATCAAGGGTGCAGTTGGAAAGTACTGACAATATCCATGATATACTCAGATAGCCATATTGTGACAGATTGTGATAAAATTTATCAGAACAATAAATATTTGTGCACCATTGCTACTCCAGAACACTTGAGGATGTTTGCTGTTCCCAGCAGAATATCCCTGTTTCCGGGTTCAGAGCCTTGTTTTTTAGTCACAGCATAATTCCACATGTTATTTCATAGCTTTAATGTCTAAAATGTGGACAATGGCAGGAATAAAGACAGCTCTTGATGAGCAGTGGTGTCTAAAGGTTTGAGAAGGGTCTGGCTGCAGACATGCACTCTCAGCCTGACATGCACCTATTAGCCAGCCTATCAGTGACGTCAGTGCACCCTCTGCCACAACAGTGTTTTTGACGGTTTTATGAGGGAAAAGAGCGAACCACGTACTACACAGAACATACACGAACGCTGCCAAACTGATAAAGACGTAATTAAATATGGAAAGTTTCAAAATAAAACCTACCACAACGATAAAACCTGAATGTCGGGTTTATTCGGAGAAAAAACAAAAAGGCTACCGGTGAAACTCATGAAAGCCATGCTGAAGACGATTAAAGCCATTTATCAAAAACTGTAATATTGATCAAAATAGAAGGATTCTAGGATTCTTTCTCCTAGAAAGCTGTCAGACAACGTTGTCATAACTTTCTGAGGAATTACATTTCAGCGTTGTGACAATGTAGAGAGCACCAAGCAGGCAATGTTGTGGGCACCAAAACAGTACTCTGTCACAACATAACTGCGTTTGAAGGGCCGTTAAGAATAAAACCTGATGGTTTTGCTTCCTAACGGGAATTGGCTTGATGGTTGCCGTTAGAGACCACTTGGAAACGATCAAATGTATCTGGAATCAGTCCCAAAACCCCTGATTAAACAATCAGAATCCTTTACACTGTGATATCAAACCATCAGGAAAACACAGAATACCATTAGCGACTACCGAAAACCACCAGGAACCAACAGCCACTTTTAATGGGTTCTATGAATGTTTTCAACAAGAAGGCACATTAAATGGAGTTCTCTAGACGTGTTATGGAAGAAAAATGGATTAAGTGATGATATCGCTAAGCAGAAGCAGCCAAACTTACCGTGCCGTTGGGCTGCTTCTGCCACTGTGGCAGAGAGTTGATGTGCACGTGACGTCACTGGGGCTGAGAGTGCATCTGTCTGAGAGTGCATGTCTGCAGCCAGACTCTACTGAAACGTTTGACTGTTACAGTATATACAGAGACAGAGACACACACACAGCAGGCTCAGTTATCCAGTAACTCGTGTGACCCAGACTGTTCTGCTATTCTAGAGACACTTAAAGATTTACAAACTGCCATGTCCTTCCATTTCACCCGTATGTGGTCAGTTACGGGCTTTTTGCGGTCACATGGCTAGTCACGTGACCAAGGAACAGCAGCAGTTCCCTGGACCATGGCAGAAAAGAAAGGCCATTTCCTATTGAGTGGACCACCATGACTCTTCACTTCATCACTGATTGATGACTTATAGTGCAGTGATATTTATTTTTTAACAATATATCGTCACTGTCCGAACAAAATTCCGTATTCCAAAAATGGGACTTTTACAGGAGAAAGAAAAATGTTCATAACTTGTAAGGCGAGTTATTGGAACAATATATTTTTGGAGTAATTTTGGACCATTTCTATTGGCACATTCATTATAAAACTAACACGATGCAAAAGGCAACTGGATCTTTTAAATTATGCACAAAACTAAAAAGACAGAAATGGAGATGCAAGGTTTTTGCAGAACGTCAACTACAATCTACAAAACCTTTCACAAAACATCAACAAATGCTTAAGTAGGTCAGCAAGGATTGACAAGAACTAAGCAAAGAAACAACAGGGTACAAATTAACCTGACAAACCGGAGGCTGCTTTGATTACAGTCGTTTTTAAATGCATAGTTATGTAATGTTGCTTGAAAGCAAACTGAAGTTAAACATAGAGGAACCTGATTAAATATAATTGGCAGTTAAATCTATATAAATTTTAGGAGGGAGAAAGAGCAAGGCCCTGTCCATCCTGCTCAGTACATGAGTCACCAAAACAGAATGACAGGCTTATTTATTTTAATTATCCTCTCACCTCCTCAAAATTAAAGGGTTGATCTAGCTGCAAGGAAATCAAGACTAACCTGTTGCTATGTAAGCCAAAAGGATCCTCTGTATTGAGGTCAATGACTTAGGAAGGCATTATACACATCAAATCATGCAGTAAACCAAACTTCACTACACTGCAAAAAAATTGCTGTAAAATAACAGTAAATGACTGCCTAATGGTTGCATTATTCATGTTGACAATAAATAAAAGTAGCTGCATTCTCCTGTATTTTTACATAACAACTGTAAAAGTAACTCCGCAGCCAGTAATTTACTAGACCAGTATTTTACCAGACCAATTTTTACATCAAAATGTAAATTAAGTACTAAATAAACTAAAATAAAATAAAAAAATATATAAGTGAACATTTATCCACCAAGTTGTGCACTGTATATGCACAAAATATCTCAAGTATACATTTTTACATGTAATTTGCTGTGTTATTAGGAAAAATATAGTGAGTTGGGTTTCATAAAAATTTAAATAATTAACAGTGTACAACTGGACATCAGACGAAATGACCTCGACATTCGCAATTCTGTCCTTTGTTGATTACAGTTTTGTAGTCAATTTAACGAGACAAATTGTTCTTGTATTTGACAAATATTAAACTTTGATGTAAACACAATTACTGAGTACGTTTACATGCACTCAGTAACCCAATCACAATCAGATTTCTGCAGTTATCTGATTATTCAAATGGTCACGTAAACAGCACACTCTGATTTCTTAGATCGGAGGAAGGCCTATGCATGTAAACTCTTACTCTGATTTATTTCGGATTTCTCAGTCTGTGCATGTGTTAAAACAGACCGGTGCGCTGGAAATAAGCAAGCAGCGCTGTAACGAGACGCAGCAAAACACTTTTGGAGTGACACTGAAACCAACTATAGGCTTGACAAAATGAAGGATTTAAATATTCTTTATATTGTAGATGATATATGTTCATATTTTCAGGTAAAGTGGCGGAAGGAAAAAATGCTGCATCGTGAAGTTACGTTTAAGTTACGTCTTCTTCTGTGAGTTTATTGGCTGGTTGCAAAGCAGAAATCTGATTACTGCCTGACTCATGTAGACCTGGAGTTTACCCATTATCTGATTACTCAAGTCCAAGTAAACGCATCAATCGGATTACTGACAAAATACAATTTTCTGCAGTTATCGGATTAATAAGTGCATGTAAACACACTTGCTGTGTTTGCTCCCACATCCGCTTTAGTGTTGTTAACTGAGGCAAAATTACAAGTGTTATTATTGTTGTTGTTGTTGTTGTTGTTATTGTTTTGTTGTTGTTGTTGTTATTATATAATAATAATACATTTCTTTTCACTATTATTATTATTATTATTATTATTATTATTTCTATGTATGTAAACACTTTGTGGAAATAATAAAACAAATAAACGAAAACTCCATGTCCATAATGCCCCCCAAATCCAGTTTACCCTTTTACCGCAGTCATTTTTGACACGGTTCCCTGTATTAGAGGATTCTGTTACCAGCACAGGCCTAGCAGTAGCAGCAAAAGCGAACTTTAACCTAAAAAACAAATAAGCTCATGTTTCTGGCCAGAAACGTGAAAGATAACCCTTTTTTTCTTGGTATTGTTTGGTAGTTCTTACTGTGGGATTAATAAACCACACTTTAGCAACCTATAATTAGCTTCTTGCTAAAGTAACAACATTGGCTAAAGCTTACAATGGCCAAGTGCATGCGAGGCAACCACGTACAGGCCACTATTACTATTAATTATTACTCTTAGACTTCTGTTAGGCTATTATTAAGCAGGGCTACTTCTCAATATGCTTTGTGTTTAACAAGATTAGATGTAATCTAGAATCACTTAGATGTGATCTGGTGATTCTCGATACATCATCAGTTGACTGAAGCCTACGAGCCAAGTGAAGCAGGTAGTGAAGAATGGTGGGCCACTCACCTTGGCATGGTCTGGATGATGAAGATGTCCTGTCCTCTCACCGACTCCTTCACATCCACTCTGGTCTCTGTTAAAGAACACACACAGCCATTTTATGTTAGTTAAGTCACTTGGAAGTTAATTGGGGGCAGGATAACATCCCATAACACCATTTATGACATCAAGCGATTTCTATTTCTAAACTATAAAAGCTGTATCACCCCCTACACTTACTGTTCTGTATTCAGATCTGTTAGAATAAATGTGTGTATCACAGCAGCCTCTTTCAGAATGGAAACTGACTTGGAATTAATACAATCAAAATACAGTATTTTCCCCATAGCTCTTATCAAATTAACTGTCGCCTCTGTGTATGAAACATTGAGGATCTGTTGGGCTGCTAATGAGCAATGGGGTGATGAAAGAGGGGGGCTAAGGACCCCCCAGTGTTGTTCTTAAGTTACAGTTCTAATCTGTACTAAAACTGTGCACAGATTAGTGTCATGAGCAGTAGGCCTCACTCCAAAAGCCATAGAGGAAGTTTGCTACATGGGGTCTGCCTAAGGAGGGCGTTTGTTGCAGAACGTCACACAGGGTTCGTACTTTGAACCTAATAGCTCCATGATGTAATAGGCTGTGCCAGGGTCACTGTAACTACACAGAGCAAACAACAACAGAGACAGTACAAAAAGTGAAAAACAGTGAAGAAAAACAAACACAAGAGCTCAAACTCACCTCTGTTTGACTCCTGGTACACCACAGATTTTCCCAACTCCACACCAAGGCGCCTAAGAAAAAAGACATAATGGAATGAAAATGCAGGCAATTCACTAAAATTAAGAATGGCATCTTTGAGACTTGAGCTCTAGTGCTCAATAAAGACCACTTTGTACATGTATGATTACTGCCTCCACTCTTTAATAAGATGAGACAGACGGTTTAACTGAATAAACAGAAAGGATTTCACAAAGTAGGATTTCTCAGTTAGCCAGATAAAGCCCAAAGTCAAGCCTGTTTAACAGGAGAGGTCATTCCTATTGGACAATCCTAACTTTTAACTAAATGGGTTTTGATGCTGGGTGAATTGGACCCTGTTTCTGAAGATATATCATCCAACAAAGCTTTTCCCAATGATATATGTTGTTATACATATACACCGACTGGGAATAACATTATGACCACCTCCTTGTTTCTATGCTCAGTGTCCATTTTATCAGCTCCACTTACTATATAGGTGCATTTGTAGGACTAGAGGACTAGAGGATGACCAACACAAATTGCACTGCTGTGTCTGATCCACTCAGACCAGCACAACACACACTAACACACCACCACGTCAGTGTTGCTGCAGTACTGAAACTGATCCACCACCCAAACAGTACCTGCTCTGTGAGGGTCTATGGGGGCCCTGACCACTAAGGAACAGGGTAAAAGGGAGCTAATAGTAATAATAAAGTATGCAGAGAAACAGATGGACTACAGTCTGTAATTGTAGAACTACAAAGTGCACCTATATAGTAAGTGGAGCTGATAAAATGGACAATGAGCATAGAAACAAGGAGGTGGTCATAATGTTATGCCTGATCGGTGTATAAATATAAATATAGGCACCTGCTCCTTCAGTTTCTTCTGAAATTAAGGATATCAATAGTGAGTTTGTCCCCCTTTATGTCATTAACAGCCTCGACTCTTCTGGGAAGGCTTTACTCTAGATGTTGGAACATTGCTGTGAAGATTTGATTGCGCATTAGTGCGGTCAGGTACTGATGTTGAATGGTCAGTTCTGGAGCACTCTTACTCATCCCAAAGGTACTAGAAGGAGCTCCATCACTCCAGAGAACACAGCTTCACTGCTCCACAGCCCAATGCTAGGGGGCATTATGACCGTCTAGCCCACGCTTGTCATTGGGCATGGAGACCTTAGGCTTATGTGCAGCTGCTCCAGTGGGTTCTATTAGTCAATGCGTTTCTATGGAGATTATACGGTGCATATTTTCAGTGTATTCCAAAATATAAACTCATCTACAGTACATTGTAATATATTCTCAATGCTATGTTTCTGTACATGGGTGCTGCTGGAGCTGTACAGGGTACATTCAAGCATAACCCAGCTCTGATATTCTGGTTGATCTTGATAAGCTGGATCAGGTGTGTCAGGCTTGGAATGAATCGCTGCACGGGTAACGTTGGGGCGTTCTTGCACCCACGCTGGTAGCTTTTGGATTTTAATCAAAAACACTATGATTAACATGCACAAGCCCTGCAGAGTAATAAAGGGGACAGATTTTAACAAACACACTCCACCTACTATAAAAGTCTGGTTTCATGTTTCAGTGATAAGCAATAGGGTAGGGCAGGTTAACATTCCAAGCTCGAAACACGGACTACACAGTTTAAGCCTGTTCTCCCAGGTCGACCAGACAAACGCAGATTTACTCCAGCTTGACTCACAAACACAGTGGACATGGGCTTGCCTCTGAGATTCAAGTTGGAACAGATGAAGTAATACAGGCCTTATAATAGCACAGCGTTGCAGTAACTATAGTGAAACTAGGGCTGCACAATACAGAAATGAAGTGAAACGTTCAATAAAGTTGGATATCGTGAAGAAAAATTATGATTAAAATCGTGTATGACTGAGTGTGCAATATGTACAGAACCTATTTTGCTGTGTAAACAGAAATCGTGTCTCTTTAAGCAAAATTGCTAAATCCTTCACTTTTGTGCAAAGTGCAAAATTAAAATAATGAATTACTAATAGCTGACATCACAACTGCACTGTAAGGCTGTTGGAAAACCAGCGCTTACCAGCGTCTTCTATACAGGCCTAATATAAAAATGCAGTTCCTTAAAAAGCTGAAAATGGTGATGCAGGTTTGTTGTAACAGTCTTCATTACTGCTTCACACATTTCACATGTAACGATCACATTTAAAGCATTTTTCTAGGCTAGTAGGAGAGAGCAGATTTTGAGCTGTGCTTAGGTGTGATTTGCAAATGGCTCTATAGCAGAGTGGTTAAATCACTTACTCTACATGCAAGAGAGTTCCCGCCATTATAACTACATCATTCTTGCACACTGTATGAACCATAATTTGACCTGTTCCATCACTGCAGCCCTCAATGATGTTTTTATCATGGACACTTGTATCACAATGATCATAAAAGTATGTTTAATCGTGCAGTAGTAGTTACTAACATTCCTCTCTAGACTAGAAAAATACAGCATCAGATTTCTGTAGAACCATTTAAATTATTCTTGTTGACTGATTAATAATTTGCTATGATAGATTTATTTGAATTAATTTAACAATACTGCAACCTAAATTCATGCTAATAAAGATACTTAAATTGTTCGCAGTTCAAGTTATTCAAGGTATTTTGGAACAAATCACTCATAGAAGCCCATTTAAAGGGGCTGCCAATGACTGCAAAAGTCTCTCAGTGATTCTGAAGACGTGACTTAAGTCAGATTTAAAAAGGTAATCAAAATGGTTAAAAATCTAGAAAAATGCTGCCTAATCAGGGCAGTGTTGGAGTTTCAGACTAAATGGTGATTGACAGTGAAATAGCCATAATAATGTATACATTACCAAAAGTAAAGCTTTTATTTTTCGGCAGAAGTCTGCTCTAATTCTGATTCGAGGTATCATTTGACATCACCCTCTTCCAATACAGTACCACCCAACTCAAATCTAACAAAGGAAAAAGGGGCTAATTTGAGTATGTTAAAAGAGGGGAAGCTGAAATGTGCAGTAAATATGGTCTAGTAAATTGAAATATGGCTATAAAGTACCAGTTTGTTAACATTTGCACGTTTACTCTTACTAATAAAAGTGTACTGCCCTTGATGAATAATTTAATAAGGAAAGATAGAAAGAACGCTTTCTGTTCAGGCTGCTATGGGTATGACATTCTTCACAGAGGCCGTCAAGCAGAAGAAGCATATCTACGGTTTGTTCATTCCAAACACATTTCATTGCGGTCATTCCTTCGTCCAGGAATTAGAGCTTTTTTCTCTCTCAGTTAATACCATCTCTGCCTGCAGTGCTCTGCAACTGCTAATGAAACTGCCCCAAGTGTCCTGCAAGCTACGAGAATGTTTGCACTCAGCGCAACTGAAAAGCCCCTCTGTTGACAAACCCTTAGGGGGATGTACAGCAGTGTACTGGCCTGGCTGACTTCCTCCCTGATGAGGGGCCCTATAACGGCATGTGGACAGAGAGAAAGTACATGGATCTGGAAATAAATCAAGTAATGCGTAGTGAAATCTACATCAGTTTAACTCTAGCAATTAAATCCACACAGATGTTTCTACTTTAAACACATCTAGAAAAAGTACAAACAGTCAAACTGGAAAAAGAGATTTTGTAGTCTGATCCTAATAAGGATGCAATGGTATGAAAACGTCCTGGAATTACATTAGTGACTGAAATTAGGACGATTTTCAGGACATCAAGCAATGGTAAAGTTTAAAAAGGTGATGCACAGTGCTTAATAGAGTCACATGCAAAAGTCGGTAACACTTTACTAGAAGGCTGTCTACATAACACATTCGTAACATCTTACATAAATGCTTCATAACATGTTTATCTAATTTTAAGCATTTATTGCTTTGCATGTCACTATATGGACAGTAAAATACTCATAAATATGCTTAGGAACAATCATTTGACTAGATCTTAGTATGGTGGTGTGCCTAAATGTCAAAGCAATGAATGACCAAATGAATAAAGCAGGGTCTTTTTTATTTTCGCTGTCCAGAAATTGGACGTTTAACTGAAAACAATATAGTTTTTCAAAGTAAAAAATAAGAACCTTTATTTTGAAAAACGTCTCTAAGTACATTGACATAGTAGTCCATATTAATATCACATAAAGCATATGTGCTTTATGAATGCTGATTTGAACATTCATGAACATGTTATTAAGCGTTTATGTAGGATGTTATGAATGTGTTACGCAGACACCCTTCAAGTAAAGTGTTACCCAAAAGTCTGTGCATCCCTGCACATTTTAATGCCATATTATAAAACTTTTGCCTGTGCAAAAGTTATAACACATTTTGGGTTTTATTTTTTCCCCCAATATGTTGAGCTCAGTAAATAAATAGAGATACTGCACTAAAATTGGTAGAGTTAAAGCTGCACTATGTAAGATTTTTTTTTGTTAAAATTGAAAGATAATCAAAAATAATAATTAAAAGTCACGTTGGGGGTTTTTCACACCACATCGTACATCTTTATGTATAAACGCAGGCTCCAAAAGAAGGTATGGCTCAATGTTCAGGCCTCAACCTCAATATCAACATTATACTGATGAAGATGTAATAACAATAGAAGATAATTTACTCCCATCCTCAAAAGACTCCTTCACCAATTTCTCTTTTAATTTTTAATCATCAGATTCATCTGCTTGGGGAAGGGGTCTGAAGCACAGCCTACTTTGAAAAATGTTACACATTTCTACCACAGATGCTCCAAATCCCCAAAACTTTCACTTATTTTCATGCTGAAAATCAACAGAACGCGTCATTTAACCGGGGGTGTTCAAAAGAGGCCAGATTGACCGAGTAAGAACTGGCCTAAGATGAAATTCCTTTTATCTTCAAAATCCCACTCATCAGGATATGAAAGTCAAATCTGATCCTACATCAACACTATTGAGCTTGTACTCAATGTACATGTTGCTGTCACAGGCCATTGACTGGCAGCTATTACAGCCCATAATATTCTCATTACGGCACACATCTGCTCAGTGTGAGCCTCTGATCTTCCCCATAAGCTCAGACAGGGAGCTGGATATTAAGGAAGATCATTTGGATGCTTTGTGTTGGTTCTTGCTCTGTCTGTTCCACTGAGATATTAAACGGTGTTGACAGTTCGACCAGCGCCGTGTTGACCACACTGCAGGGCGGCAGTTTACCAAGCCCACAGCGTGGCTTCCACATTTCATCACCAACAAAATTATGAGGAATTTGCTTTAATGAGTCTAAACTAGGTGAACAAAATGTATTGGAAATGTATTGTTCACCAATAAATAAGAAACGTGTATTATTATTATTACGATTATTATTATTATTATTATTATTATTATTAAGTCAATCTTGGAATTGTAGCTAAAAAGTGCAACTGATAACACTGGTGCTCATGTGATTACTCACTTGATAAAATGTAAAATGAACACAACAAGGTGTTAATTATCTGTTAATTAACAGTTATTGTTGCTCCTCATTTCTTGTAATATATTCATGAATGTTTACTATTTTAAAAGTCTTATTAAAAGACCCTTCAAGAGAATCTTAGTTTAATTAAAGGCCTATCTTAGGACAAACACAGAAATTAGCATGTCGCTGCTGTCAGAAGAAAACCTCGTATCTCCATTTTGGTCTTTTTTCAGTTTCTGGCATAGTTTGAAGATGCCTGTTTTACTTTACATTGCGTGTAAATTTAATACATAATTGACCAAAAGTAATGGCCCAAATTTACTTGGAAAAAGTAAAACGGAAAGTTTTTTCTGCTTCTGCAAAGTTACCATTTTGGAGATATGAGGTTTTTTTCCGACAACAGCGATATACAATAGCTTCAACTGTTAAGAAACAAGGCATCAGACTGAGTGTCCTTTGTAAAAATGAATAAATACATGATAATTAGTGCCTGGACTTATGTTACACTATAAAGTCTAACACTAATTTTTCAAAGTAAAAAATGTATTCACCATTTTTTTTCAATCAACTCAGCTTAAGACATTAAGTTCATAAGAATTTAGTAGAATACAGCTACATCACAGTAATCTTGTACACCAGGTGACTGAACTTACAGTACACAGTATATTTACTCTTAATATGGTTCAGTAAACTGCAGTGAAAGTAATGCAACTATTGGTCTATAATTTCTTAACATTACAGTAAAACAGCCAAGGCTCTGAAAGGATCTTTAGAAGCCACTGAAAGAACATCTGATCAGGAAGAAATTCATTCAAGACAATGACCCCAAACACTCTGCTGAGAGGATCACAAACAAAGAGGATTATCAAACAAAGCTGCTGTACTGAATGTGTTGGATTACTTGAATTGTGAGAGGCAGAAAATGCAAAACCAACTTCTAAGACTGAACTTTGGAGGTGTGTCTGCAGATTTCTTCGAGAAACTGAAAGTGAGTCTTGTGAAGTGTACGCTGTAATAAAGTTAGAGTGGACACACTAGACACTGAAAGAAGTAGCACTGTATTTAGATGTTGAGGCTTCTGTGTAATCTTCTGTTATATGTACATTTTTTCTTGACAGAGAAAAATGAAGAACTTGTACTTACTGGTCATTTAACTAAATAAATCCAGGACGGTCTCTGATTTAGTTTATTAGTGGTCTTTTTGAATATCCATTAGAAAGGGGGCCAGTAACCTGAGGGCACCAGCTAAATCACAGTTAGAGGAGAGAGCACCCTGAGGTCAGAGGCCTACTGTACTGCAGTGCTATTCAATCCCAGTCTTGGGCCCCTACAGTGCACAGCGTACTGCTGCCCTTGCTCTAACACACCTGACTCAACTCATCAGCTAATTGTCCGGCCTTTGGCGAGCTGAATCAGGTGCGTACAAGCAGGAAAAAGGAGAGGAATGTGCAGGGCAAGGGGGCTCCTACTCTGTAAATGAACAACACTCCTGTACTCCTGTAGAGCCTCCAATTTAGGCTTTGCTGACAGGAGAAGATTGGAGGCAGTGACGGACAAGGCATGCTGCAGTTTACCGTAGCGCTCGTGCTGCAAATCAGCATCCACAGCCTGCCCCCAGCATGCTGCCTATAAGCTCCCAAAGACCCACTTAAAGGGAAAGTTAAGCAAAATTTTGAGATATTCTCACTCCAAGCCCAGATGTATTTATGTTGGCCTCAACAGTTTCAACAGACTGACTAAGAATTGCAAAATGGGCCAAAATTTAGGGCGCACTACTATTAGGTTAATATCCTCGGGACCCACAGCTCCAGAAATATCCTCACCCACATTTACTGACCACAGTCAGAAACGTCAATAACTTCTACGTAGTTAAAATTAGGAAAACAGGATACTATTGTATGCAAATGTTTGGTCAAGTTACAAGTTTTGTTGATTTTCTAAAGAGAAAATAAGTTAATACGGCCAGGAAATTAGCATTTCTCCACAAACATATTGATATGTATATATAAATATATATATATATATATACATACATATATATATACACTTTTTACTTTATTTTTATAACAGTAATTGTGTATTAAAATATGCAGAAGTGTGTTCTCTGTGGAGAATGTGTTCATTTATTTTCAATTAGAACAGACCAGGGGTGCTCAAACTTTTGCCTATGATTGTATGCCCCCTTCATTCACAGGACTTGACATTTTTGTTGTTGTTTATTTATTTCCCTGAGACCTACTTAATATGTTTATGTGGACTTACGTACCAAAAATGCATTTGGAGTTCATTTGGAATTAAACAGGCTGTTTTTATTACTGTGCCTTTAAGACTGATATATGTAAATGACCTATTTTCTGATTCTCATTCAAAAACACAGTCCGAGTTGAAACACTACATATAACTTCAGCGTGAAGGGGCTCAGCTAAACTTCTCTAGGATTAATACGTGCTTTTTTGTGCCATCACAGACACAATGAATTCAAAATGGGCTGTTCTTGCAGCTCAGTTTCCATATACTGATTTTACAGACTGGGGAGTGAACAGTACATTTTGAAACTTCAACTGTGTTCACATACAACATCAAATTCGTATTTATCAGTTTTCCATGATATGGGCCCTTTAATGGCTCTCAGGTCTGCTTAGAAGTATTCAGACTAAACTAGAGGGTTCACATGGTCAAGACTGAATACAGTTCTACAAACTAAAATTTTTTTATCCCCTCTAAGTGCAACAGTCTGCACTTCAATTCCTCATTTTCCAAACTACATAACTGATTAGGTTCATAGTAGCTACCAAACACTTTGTAAAAGCCTTAGGAATAATAATGCAATAATAAGCCTTAAGGGATTAACAGAGAATAAAAGCGTAATTTTCATTTGGGACGCCACACCTTTGTGTGCTGCTTTGATTATAGTTACTTACTTTGTGGGTGAACATAGGCATGCAAGCGAACCAGTGAACCACAAATCTCCTGAAGGGCCGGCCTGTCACATTTAAACTGCATTGTGACAAACAGCTGACTGGCCTATTATCTCATTGTTATAACACTTATTTATCATCTAAATTTTCACCAGTTTTATTAGTAAATAGTTTATTTTTGTAAGAAAATCTTAGTTGGTCATTGCCTTTAACCCCTTATTCTCTAAAATACTGCAAACTTTAATTATTTACTCTCATTACTTCATTATAACATTATAGTTTAGGTATAATCTACGGTAGTTACTGCGTAATAAGCCTGAATAATAAGCCTACAGTTTAAAGGGGAAATGTAACACTACTGTTTTAGTGCTGCATTGTGTCAGTTCCTGAAAATGAATTATGGAGATGAGTATCATTCTTATATTTTTTTCCATATCACTCAATTGTGCACTCACCAGTCCCATCTTTAATGGGAAACTCCAGTTTTTCCAAAATCCTTCAGAGTGGTTTGATGTGAAGTGGTGGTGATAGGAACCAGGGGTCGCAATGTCAACAACACAAATATAGACATTTTACTTGCTACCTAAAGTGACCAGATGACCTACACAGTGTATCCTGAGTTTTATGTCTAATGCCGATAACTGTAAAAGAGCAAATTATCCATCAGTATGTTTTCTTTGGGGACTATTTCGCTTGAAATTGCCCTACATGTACCTCTCTACTGTAAATATAGCGTCTCCGTCATGCCAAAATTGTGTCTTCATTTTTTGTTTGTTTTGTTTTTTGTTGATGCATAATTTGAAAGCTTCAGTGGACAATGACTTCTTCTCTTAACTTTCACTACAAGTTAAGAACATTTTTGCCTTCTCCTGTAAAGTTACCCATTCAGAGACACAAGGTTTAGTTTTCCAAGCCAGTATACTCATATTATTATTTCATGCAGTAACTTTCTGTGAGGGAGCTTTTAGAGGTGGACATCTGGTTCCTATCACCACCACTGTCATCAATTCTGACTGTAGGTTTCTCTAGAATGAAGCATTTCCCACCAAACCACTCTGAATGACATTGTTTACATCTTAACCACTGGATTATGCAGAAATGTTGAAAGATTAGTGGAATTCCCCTTTGATAAAGTGAGTTAAACGAAAGCACAGGTTTTCTACTTTTGTGAGAAAAAAATAAACCATAAAGTAGCTTTAATACTCACTCAGTGATCTTCTTGGCCAGTTCAGTGCATGCTGGAGTGGAGTTGGCAGAGAAGACCCGGTAGCCACTTCTCCCCACATTCATTGTGGACTTATAACCATAGGACAGCTTGGGTGTTTGAGGGTGAGACAGAGAGAACTTATGAGGGCCTGCTCGACTTTTGGGCATTTTTAGACAGAATTGAGGTGTTTCTATGCGTAATTTGGTCACTTCAGCCGCAACAAAAGGCAACTAAATATGCAGTGATACAAATTTATTTAGCCAAAGTGGAAAATTTAGGGACAAATGTGGAAAGTTGAAGAACTAGTCTAGAACAAAAAATAGTATAGAACTTTTATTTGAAGCTTTTTGGTGCCAAAATCCTCTGACTTACCAACACCAGTCAGGGAGGGAATGTCCTACAACACCACCAATTTGGAGAAAACAGCAAAAACAGACCAAAAAAACACAAGACTATTCCAACACAGTTCCAGTAAACAGCTTAACACTTAGAGAACTCAATGACCTGGATGACTGGAAGCCTTCAGCAGAAGGTCCATGAACCTCTCACCCGCTTTAAGAGCAAAACGAGGGCCAGCTTTGATACTCATACACGATACACTGGATTATCTCCGCTGTTTTAAACAGTTTCACCAAGATAGTAAGCAACTTATACACGGACGAGACTTTAAAGAGGTCAGCAGAAAGCAGGGAATGGTCTCCAGAAAAGAAGAAAGCAGTGGACCGCAGCCTGGAGCTGGAAAACTGATCTGGACTCGAGACACGAGGCCAAAACGCAGACAAAAAATAAAAATAACGAAGCTCATAAACAGCAGAGAGGCTGAGAGTGTCCCGGAAAGCTCGATGGATTTGTATCACTGCAAACTTGGTTGCAATGCGGTGGGAAAGAGAGAAAACACGCCACGAGTTTGCTCATTGGACGTCCCAGTTACGTGATTGACACACGGGCTGGCCAATGAAATCCTGCGCGCCGGAGGAAACGGGGCGGCGCTCTGGGGCGGCTAATCCAATCAGGTCAATCTTGTGTAAGTTTTAGGGTGCGTTCCTAATCGTTCCCTAAATGGAAAGGTAGTGCACTATGTAGTGTGTCAGCCATATTGTGGTGGTGCTCCAATTCTCGTTAGTTAATTCTCGAAGGAAAACTCCACCGATATTTTTATTAATTCCACAAAATTCAGTCGTTAAGATGTAAACGATGTCATTCAGAGTGGTGTGGGTGAAAAGTCATAGAGAAACTTACAGTGAGAAATGTTCACAGTGGTGGTGATAAGAACCAGACGTCCGAAAGCTCCTTCAGAAAGTTATTACATTAATGGTAATGAATATGCAGTCTGATGTCTAGGACGTTGTTTTATGATAGTTTTGTGATGGAATTTTGGTTTAAAATGCATTTTGTATTTTTGTATTTTGTATAAAATATAGTTCATGGTGGAGGGGTACACGCAGGGTGTTATGAGGCAAAATAGTCCCCAAACAAAACATATTTTTTTAGATTTATCACTAAAACAGCAGCGACTTCACAGATGCATAATGATAATGCAGTCCATCTTATGTAAAAAAAAATATATATATATATATATATATACACTTTTTCTTTGATAATACGTCTTTTTCCAAGATTTTTTTTGTCAGTGGTGTTACAAAAACATAAATAGCATAAAAAAGAAAAACAAATCAGATCTTTCTGAATTACTTTTTCAAAGACTAACTTAAGTCCACATTCACTGAAATCTCTTTTTTGTATTTCTGATAAATTTGACTTAAATACTGGCAGCATCATCGCAAAAAGGTTGTGAAACATTGAGTGATTTTAAAACTGAAATAACAGTATTATTTTCTACAAATAATAAAAAAAGGGTTCAAAACGGCTCCTTTTGAGAGTCGATACTGCATTATTAAGACTAACAGTGCAAAATAATCATTTGAAATTTTATTCACAATATAAAGCTATGCAGTCCAAATGACTCACAATTTACATTTCAGTAGCAACACATTTGATCATTTTTCATTTAGTAAAAAAATAACATACATAACTGAAAGTGCTGGGTTATTATTATTATTATTATTATTATTATTATTATTATTATTATCATTATTATTATCCTTTTAAACCAGGGTAGTCACTTGAACTCCATAAGTGCAAGAAAAACAGGGTCATATAGGCAAAATACAGTAAATACAAGACATCATTCTCAACTCAAAATAAGCTACATTCTACATCAGTTCACAGCAAACAGTGTCATTTCTAGCAGAGCATCTGATACACATACTGTACACTGAATCTCCTCTAAGAGAACTCTGATAAAGCTCACATCTACAGCAACCTTCAAATGCCCAAGACATGAAACGTAATTCATCCAGTGTTTGAAAATAGAAGATTTGATTTCATGGAACATGAAATTTAGAGACGGTCAGTTAACAATATCGAGCTGATACCAGCAGAACACACTGAATCAAATACTGAAGTGAAAAAAGAATGAATGTGAACTAATCCTGTAACAGATCTTTGCTGAAACAGCGCTTGATCACACTGTGTGATGTGATGTTAGCCGTGTAGCTCTTCCTGTGGGGTTAACAGAGTGATTGAGCAGCTTCAGCATCATTGAGCTACTGCTTTTAGAGGATCATTTTAAGCAAAGTGCTTCAATTAAAAAGCTTTTTAAAGCTTAGTAGCTTCTGAAGTACAAATATTGGATCAGTATTGGCTAAAACCCATGGTTCAATATCAGTATGGACATAAAAAGTGATGCCATCTCTGGTTAAAATCTCACATTAAATGCCAAATTACCGCATTTAATGACTCTTCTACAATGTCTAACGCTGCATTTACATTGGTCAGTTGCGGCTATGGACGCACACGTGTTCCCCTCTTTCCAGTTTGCTGCGTGTGGGTGTTGTGAGGGAGTCAATATTTATGTAATTAACACTTTTTTTAATAATCAGAAAGTTAAGGTCATGTGTATTAATAAACTAACATTTTCCAGATCTGCAACAGTTGAATATTTTCAGTTTTGAATATTAGATTGAATATAATCTAGAATATTTAATTATACTATAGGAATAATAAAAGCTAAAGATGTTTCTCTTTAATGATTAAAAAATATATTTTTTTTTATTAATATTCTTACACTTATTGTTATTATTAATAAAATGATTATTATTAACGAAACTTGAAATACTGCAAGATGATGGAAAAACATCACTGATAAACCAATATTGTCAAAGCAAGTAGCATACAATGCTATTCCGGGCCAAATCTGCAACCCTGACCAGGTTACTGAGACTGTCTTGAGCGTGTCAGTGACGAAGCACTGCAGAAAAGCAGAGCAAACAGTGTCTTTTTCAAGAACACATTTAAGAAAAACTTTGGAAGATACACTATACGGACAAATGTGTTTAGACATCCTTCCTACTTATTGAGATCAGGTGTTTCAACCACATCCATTACTAACAGCTGTATAAAATTAAGCAAACAGCCTTGCAATCTCGATAGACAAACACTGGCAGTAGAATGGGTCGAACTGACGAGCTCAGTGACCTTAAACTTGACACTGTCATAGGATGTCACCTCTGCCACAAGTCAGTTTGTGACGTTTCTGTCCTGCTAGATCTGCCCCAGTCAACTGTCAGTGCTGTTATTGTGAAATAAAAGTATCTAGGAGCAACACTAGCCTAGCCACGAAGTGGTAGACCACGCAAACTCTCAGAGTGCTAAAGTGCACAGTACCTATCCTCTAATATCCGCCGACAAATTGCCTTTGGAAGCAACATCAGCAAAAGAACTGTGCATTAGGAGCTTCACGAAATGGGTTTCTATGGCTGAGCAGCTACACACAAGCCTAAGATCAAAATGCCAAGCGTCGGTGGGGTGGGCGTTTGGGGTAAAGCCACTGGACTCCGGAGCAGTGGAAATATATTTTGTGGAGTGACGAATCAAGCTTCTCTATCTGGCAGTCTGATGGATGAGTCTGGGTTTGGCGAATGCCAGGAGAACATTACCTGCCTGACTGCATTGTGCCAACTGTAAAGGTGTAGGAGGGATAATGCTGTGGGGTTGTTGTTCAGGGGCTGACCTAGGCCCCTTTAGTTCCAGTAAAGGGAAGCCTTAATGCTTCAGCAGATCAAGACATTTAGGACATTTGTACGCTTCTAACTTTGTGGGAACAGTTTGGGGAAGACCCTTTTTTGTTCCAGCATGACTGTGCCCCAGTGCACAAAGCAAGGTCCATAAAGGCATGGCTGAGTGAGTTTGGTGTGGAAGAACTTGACTGGCCCTCACAGAGCCCTGACCTCAACCACACTGAACACTTTTGGGATGAACTAGTACGGAGATTGTGAGCCAGTCCTCTCATCCAGCATCAGTGTTTGACATCACAAATGCTCTTCTGGATGAATGGGCAAGCGTTCCACAGACACACTCCAAAATCTTGTAGAAAGCTTCCCAAGTGGAAGCTGTTCTAGCTGCAAAGGGGGACCAACCCCATATTAGTGCCTATGGATTTAGAATGGGATATCATTAAAGCTCCTGTAGGTGTAATGTGTAGGTGTCCCAATACTTGTCCATATAGTATATTGGTGAATGAAAGAATGTTATATCGAGCTACAGACATGAATCATGCACAGTCCACATTCCTTCTAATTGGGTGAACACATCACATTGAATAGATTCATTTGCACAAAATTCTGCACGGTTCGACTTTCTTAACATATTGCACCCCCAAATTTGGTGCTTCCCATAGTAAGTGAATGTGTTGCGGTGCATTGTTGAATAATGTAAACGCAGCGTTAGCCATTGTGCACTGCCCACTAAGTAAGTCTTGCTATGAGAAGGAGAACAAAACCATGTTACCAGCTGATAGGCATGCTGAGTTCATCAACAGCGTAGGACAGTCTCTGGGGGTAAGATGTTACCAGCTGACGAAACAAGTCAGTGTTCAAATCACTCCCACTGTAGAACAGAACTGTTACAAACTGGCTCAGTCCGTCAGTATTACGAGTCCATCTCACTCACAATCTATGACAGTCTGTGAGAAAGAATGTTACCAGTTGACAAGTCAGTTTTCCAAATTGCCTGACAATACAAGACAGTCTCTGGGAGAAAAATGTTACAAAGTGACATAACTGTGTCAGCATTTCGCATTGTAGTCCAAATCACTGACGCTCTCGGCTAGTTTCTGTGGACAGAGTGCTACCAGCTGACAGGAGGAGTCAGCTTTCTGAGTTTTTCTCGCTCTTGAGGACCTTCTCTTTCAGCAGGTCGAGGATGACCTGCCTTTCCTGGCTCTCCAGCTCAAACCGCCGCTCCCGTTCCTTCCTCTCGGCTCCGAGCCGCTCCCGCTCCAGAGCGATTTTACTCCTCTGGATCTCCAGCTCCTCCCTGCGGAGCGCCACCTCTTCCTCACGGAGCCGCTGCTCAGCCTCTGAGCGCTTCTCCAGAAAGCTCAGGATCTCGGAGTAGGTCTGGCAGCAGCACTGGCACGGACGCTTGGCCGTGGGCGCGGCCAACTCAGCCAGGTCCTCCTGCTCGTCTGGCTCCAGCGTCCCGGATACTGCAGGAAAGGCAGAGGGTCAAGGGAGTAGTTTTACATCTTTGTAAAAAAAAGACTCTGTTTTATATTATATGAGGATCTGTCTTTCCCCTTAAAATTCAAGGATTATTATATCCCATACTCTTAAAAGGATGATGCTTGTGAAGTGTTAAAGAAAACGGTTCTAAATGGATTCATGAATGAACCATTTGCATGTTTAAAGGGTTCTTTAGATTGATGGAGAACGTGCATGAATATGCTATAGAAGATTCTATGTAGAATTCTATATAGCACCCAAAAGGATTCTATGTAGAACCATCTACAGCACATTTTCCATTAATCTGAAGAACGTTTTCATGATGCAAAGAACCCTTTAATCATGCTAAGGGTTCTTTGAGTGGTTTCATAGTTCTACATACTAACTACATGGACTACAGTGCAAACTAGCCAAGTAATTCTTAAAGGGCCAACATAATGGAAAATCAAATTCCCTTCATTTTTTCGAAAAGAAAGATAGTTTGAAGTAATTGTCAAAATTTCATTCACTTGCTAGTCCATATATGGAAATTAAGCTGTAAAAACAGCCTGTTTTGAGTGTCTGTGATGTCTTGAAAACCATCTCACTTATATATTTCCACCTATTCAGCCAGCAGTGTTTCAACTCTGAATGCTTTTTGAATGAAGACACAAAAAAAGGACAGCCAAACAGAACAGAGCTACTTAGAGTTTACATAATCAACAAAAACAGCTTATTTAATTCTAAGGGTTTGAGAGAGGTTGGAAAATGGTCATGTAAAAGTGAACTATGACCATTTTTGGTACATAAAACCACACACGTTAGAAGTGGACCTCAAGAGGAAAAATAAAATACAATGAAAATGAGGCCCTTCGGGCAACAGCAGTATGTATGATCAAGTAAGTTTACAATATTAGCAAACAACTCTTGTCATTCTGCAGTGGCAGCAGCATCACACACACTCCAACAAATACTAACACAGGGGGCTTTTCAGGTCGTTTACTTCATACAGTCCTGAAATGAAAGCTAATAGCACCCTGTTCCGGAGAATGTCTAGCTTGCTAAATGTAAGTAAGTGAAGAAGTTCTAAATTTAATTTTTTATCTAAACTTTTGCCTCTGTTGTTAAATTTCAACAGTTTAGATAAAAACTGTGCCTTTTCTTTATTGTGTTATAGTAGATTTTACACACAATAGTGAATTGCACTGTTTTTTGTTTTTTTTGCTCCTCACCCGTAGTTGGCGCTGTCGTGACTGGTAGCATGGTGGGTTTGTCAGGCTCGGGCAGTGCAAGTTCTTCCAGCGCTCTCTTCTTCAGCTCTTCATCCTGGTATTTCCCCTCACCACTGGCTATCAGGTTCTTCTCGGCCTCAAGCTCCAGAACCTCGTGTAGCAGATCCTCCTTCTGAGCGTACAGCCTCTCTGTGCCGAACCTGAAAACATTTACATTACATAGACATTTACAGCTTACATCGTTTAGCTGATGCTTTCATTCAAAGAGGCTTCCAAAGAAGGGAATTCCACTGAAAGGTTCTCCATAATTAAATAGTTAAAATGTATACAAAGTCACTGAGAGTCGTTTGCCGTGACATACTTCTGTCTAGATACACATACTGAGTCAGAACTATTCACAATGATGGTGTTTTCAATCCTTTAAAAGCTCCCTGACAGAGTTATCTGACACTTTGTTTTACAATAGTTTGGGCATAAGAACGCATTTTTGGAGAGGTACATGCAGAGCGTTGTAAGGCAAAATAGCCTCCAAAGAAAAAGTACCATCTTTAGTACATACAGAAACTCAAAAGACATGTTTGCTTTATATATATATTTTTAAAAATTACTGCTGCTTCAGAATTTTATGAAATGTCATGAAGTCACAATTACAAAACTCTGCAGAGAACTTTTAATATGAAACGACAGATACAGGAAGTGGAGCCGCATGGCAACACCCAACCCCGTATTCCTATGTCTATGCATGGTGAAATAGTTCTTTAGGTTGATGGAAAATGTGCAGTAGATGGTTCTATATAGAACTTTTTTTAAAATGGTTCTATTTAGCACCCAAATAGGTTCTTCTATTGCTACAACTTTGACATAATAATAACAGAGAAGCTCTTTTTCAAAAATGTTCTATATAGAACCATCTATAGCACATTCATGCACATTTTCCATCAATCTGAAGAATCGTTTCATGATGCAAAGAACCCTTTAATCATGCAAAGGGCTCTATATAGAACCATATTCTTTACTAAGGAACCCTTGAAGAAGCACCTTTTTTTAAAGTGGAGATTAAACTAGACTTTAGATAGACTTTACAGTTTAAAAGAACATTCGCAACGTTACGTTATTCTCTATTGATGTTTATGGCCAACTAACTGTTACTAAATACTAACTGACTAATTGACTATCCATAACATTACTTCAATAAACATCAGTAAAATAATTGCAAACAATGTATATATTGGCAAGATCACTTTTGAAACATGATAAGTAACAGATCACTAGTTACTATTAAAAATGTAATGAGTCATGACACTATTTTAATAACTTCAGCTAAGTAATGTAACTTATTACATTTGATTACCTTTTTTCTGGAAAGAACAAAATGCAGGGGCTGTAAACCCTTTTTAATCACCAATGTTTTGATTAGTAACTGTAGCATCACTTTATTTTTTCCCTATGCAACAAATTTTGGTACCTTTTGATATGCATCCCCATATGCACTGATATACATGGGGTGTGATGTCAATGAACTGAGCTGGAGGGTGGGGGTGGTGGCGTGTTGGACCATGGCCCTGACACTGCTGCTGAAGAATTTCTAGAGAAAACAATGTAGGTTCACTGGTGGTTTTGGATAGTAAATAAAATGGCTATATTTGTGTTGCAGTCATGGTGACCCCTGGTTCCTATCACCACCACTGTAAAGAAATCTGAGTCGATACAATCAACCATTTCACACCAAACCACTCTGAAAGACTTTGTTTGAATCTCAAAGATCACATTATATAAAAAATTTGGGAAAATGGTGGAATTCCCCTCGCAGCAGCTGGGATCAAACACCTTACTGCTTGATTCTTAACTACACCATCCATCACCAACACCAAAACCTTTCCGCCTTTCAGACATTGTCTTGTACTGCAGACGTACTCAACCCAGTCTTCAAGGATTCAAAGGCGGTCACTGCGCCAGGAAAGTAGTACTAACCAGGTAAACAATAAAATGATGACAGTGGTGCAAGACTATAACACCGTAATCAGTAATAAACATCCTCTGTTCCAGCAGTTCAGAACTATGCCTGAATATGGAAATATATAAAGAGAATTTAAACTACATTTCAGGCTTTATCTCTGCCATGAACAAAACAAAAATGTGTCTGTGTTCTACTATCATTATTTCTGAACCACTAAGCTATTCTAGTGAGAACAAACCAAGACACCATCCACTACACTCACCTGCGCAGGCTGGGAAAGTCCTGTTTTTTATAGTAGTCGAGCAGCAGCATGGTTCTCTCCCTGCATCTCCGGCCGTCCACCTCAAAGTTCTCGTCCTGCAGGGCGGCAGTGATGATCTCTCCCACTCTGGCCCAGATGCGGCCCGACTCTTTGGAGGTGAAGGGGTTCTGGGCGATGACCTCCCGCAACAGCAGGATGTCATGACGGGCGGAGAAACGCACCTGCCGTTTCCGGGGAGTTGTGGAGGGGCCGGCCATGGTGAATCCTGAGAAGAGAAAGATAGGGAAAGAATGAAAGATGACTGACAATTACACAGTAATTCTACCTATTTTTTCAAAAAAAATTACAAAAATCTATGGCTTGAGATGTAAATAAAGTCATTCTAAATGTTTCACTGTGCAGACGTTCACTGTAAATAAACATACCAACTCAGATTTCTTTACAGTGGTGGATTTTGCAACATCTACAGTTAAAATATAGCCATTTTATTTACTATTCAAAACCATCAGTGAACCTATACGTCATCTGAGCTTTTATATGGAATGTTGATGATGATAAAATAGTGACAAAATGTTTGTGCTATTTTGCTAATTAATATTTTTTTTAAAATTTGTTTGAGGCAAAAATGACCATAAAACAGTGTCTCAGGCATCAGGCAGCGCAATCGTAACCAATTTCATGTAACAACTTTCTGTTAGGGAGCAATTAAACTCAGACGTCTGGTTTCTATAACCACCACTGTGAACAACTCTGATGCAGTAAGTACCTCTAGAATGGAGTATTTCACATCAAACTGCTCTGAATCACTTTGCTGACATCTCAACCAATTAATGATGCTGAAAATTTGGTGGAATTCCCCTTCAACGTAATCCCCTTTTTCTTTGGATTGAAATTTACCTGTTTTATAAGAAAGACTACAACACAAACTGAAATAAATCTGAGCTAAACAAGGTGCAGTTCCAGCAAATTCTTAAAATATGAGACAGAGATTGGACCAGAACCTGAGCTAACAGAGCATCTCTACTGATCCTCAGTAGCAGCCTGAGGTCAGGCTCCCGTTATTTAGAAACTGACTGCTTATTACAATGTAATTTAACTTAATAACCTGTTATACATCGACAAGGCTGAAGCTGGCTCCCTATTCGCCAGCCTCTTGTTCGATTTTCTCGTTAGAATTTTCCCGTTCCACCTTAATTGGTGCAGCACTTCCATTCTGGCGCCAGAATGGAACTGCTGCACCATTTAAGGTGGAACGGGAAAATTCTAACGAGAAGCTGACTTCAGCTTCGTAACACACTGATGGACAGTTTATTTAAAAGACATGTAAAACACTCAACAAACCTCACTGTCGTTTTACTGCTGCTGTATAAACCCCTTTAGCACAGCATAAGCTATTTTAACCCACTACTGGGGACATAAGGCTCTGTAATCACGCGCACTTCTGCTCTCTGCTAGAAAATAAGATGAACAGATCATCTCTGCTACAGCCAGCGTTTCTTCCATCATTCCGGGAAGTGACGTCGCTCGTTGAAATCGCAGAGCCGCGCACAAGTGCTGACTTCTGCACCGCGGTGTTGTTTCCCCACCCGTATTCCGACAAGCCCCGCCCCACCTGTGCTGCGATTGGTTAGGAGTTCAATCACAAGCAGTCCGACGTTCTAGAACGCTTCAGCCGTTAGTTTGTTCAGTATTTGTGGGGAATTTGCATATTCATAAATGCAAATTATGGTTAAAAATGAAGCCTAATTTTGTAAAATTTAAAATGGATCATTATGTACATATGATAAGGAACAACAATAAAGCAGAATGGCGTATTATTGTAAAGAATTATACTTTGCAAAGCCTTGAACTCTCTTCATCATTCATTCTTTTTTCCACTTCATAAAACGCATTTTTTAGTCTTCCATTTTTTTCCACCCAGCATTTGTGGCTTTTTGTACAAAATACTGATATTTACCTTTGTTCAATTTTTGATAAAAAAATAATATGAAATAAAAAGATGATGTAACACTGCGCTGTCATTAGTTAGGCCGTGTTATGTCATCTCTTTATTTATTTTATTTTTCCTTGCATTTGTGGCTTTTGTACAAATTACTGATAACTGTACATGTATTCAAAAAAAAAAAATAATAAAATAAAATGATGGTCTAACGATGCTACTAACCAATGACAGCGCAGGAGGCGAGATAAAAGTAACCGATCGCAGCGCAAGAAACGCATACGCTACATACTACTATCCAATAGCAGCGTGTGAGACATTAGCCCACTAGCTAATCTCAGGGCAGGATAAATTATACCGTAACCAATCATAGAACAGGCGGCGGGACTAACTAGCCAATCCTGGAGAGTCGCGGGAGAGTTATATCCAATCCCAGCGCGGAGGGCGGGACTTCCCGAATACAGGTGGAAAATAAAAACCCTCAGGATCATGGAGGCTACGCGCAAAGAAAACGTTACACGCTCGAGCAGCAGCGGCCCCCTCCGTTACGTGCAGCCTCGCGGAGAATTAAAGCGCAGCGCGAGGTTTGTTTTTCCCCTTCAGCGTGCATCTGCCTCGATTCCGAGCGGGTTTTGGTTTTTATGTCTTTCTTACCGTCGCCGCTCGGCATCTCCGCCACACGTTCCATCGTCTTTCTGCCCTCGGACGGTCAGCTGATACGCATAAACCGCTGAGGTCACCGTACACGTCCGGCTCACAGGTTACAGGCTCCCGCTCTGACGTGTAACTCAACTTCTCGGGTGAAAAAACGGGAAAGAAGTGCCGGATCTGGCCAGCAGAATGCAGCAAAGGATCATCACAAAATCTTCCGTCTCTCCGGCCTCAGTTACCAACTTCAGTCAATACATATGATTTGTTTTGTTAGTACCCCATACTGATGTTCACAATAACACTGGGAATCCTTACCATCATTTTTTGTCATTTAAAAATGAAAACTGTTCAAATGGCCCAAAAGACATGGCCTTTTAATGCCTGTCAGAGTTATGTTCTTTATTTAGTGATGCCAGCAACATGTGGACACAGGGGCCTTATCCCATTTCTTGGTTTTACTCCTGTGAGCTGGACGTGTACGGTGACCTCAGCGATTTATGCGTATCAGCTGACCATCCGAGGGCGGAAACATATGCATATGACCCCCTAAATGTAACTAAAGCCCAGCAGTGAGGTTGCTGAACTTTACCCTCCTCTGCTATCACTGCAGACTGGCAGGGTCGCCTACAGAGCAGCGCTAGTAGTTAATGAAGTTATGTTCTTTTTTATTTCAGGGTCCCATTTCATAGAGGAAGATTTCAACCACTACCCCTTGTAACTCAGTTTCAAGAGGCAAGGTGACACTTGAAAAAAAACATATTACATCATGCTGATGTGTAGACTGCAGTTTTTAGAATTATTACATTGTAAAGAGTTGATAAATGTTGTTAGCATTTACGCTAGCCTCTAATTTTTGCTCATAGTCTATGCTAGCCTCGAGTTTTTGCTCATATCTACAAAGAAAAACAAGATTTGCTTGGCTTTAAACATGAGTGTGAGTAAATTTAGGCATTTTGCGCAGTATATTTTTTAATATCTGTCAGTTTAAGCTAACTAGCAAGCAAGAAAGCTAGATGAATTGGTTGCAGTGGAACCCCTGCCAGGCTGATCTGCCTAGCATCATAGATGCAGATCTGTTTGGCACCCACATGGTTCCCTGAGTCAGAGATTAAAAAACACTGCAATGTAATGTTTGTAATGTTAAACCTACAGCACAGAATAACTGCAGTGTCAAATTAAAGGGGGATTCCACCGATTTTTTCAAAATTTCAGCATAATTCAGTCATTGAGATGTAAACAAAGTCATTCAGAGTGGTTTGGTGTGAAATGGTTGATTGTAGAGACTCAAAATTCTTTACACCAATGACAATCTGCCTAGCATCATAGATGCAGTCCGAGATTAAAAAACACTGTAATGATTACTAATAAGGTACTTTACTGACAAAGTGCTGCTACATATAAAATGCTAGGTAGCTTACGTTAGCTGCTGTCAGATTGCAGCAGTTAGCCAGCTAGCTAACATCATTTTATACAAAGATTGTGACAGCTGGGCTATATTATTTCAAGGAGGATCTTCTGGACAAGGTATAGTCGGGATAAAAGACTCATAAATCTATCATTGGAGTGCTTTAGCTAAACACAAAATGCTAAATAGCTAGCTAGCTTGGTATTTTGCTACTATCGTTCTCTGAGATTCAGTCTTTGAAAAACTGTGTTAAATAAACTGGTGTCACGCCAAGAGGCTAGCACTGCTTTATTTAAACAGTACCTTATGACTTATCCTAGACTGGACAACATCAGGGGGCGAGCCCAGCAGGGCCCACCACAGCGAGCATTAAAGGCACTTAGCGGGCGTTCCTGAGTGCCCTTATGAACACCAAAATGAGAATGCAAATGAAGACACAAGGACTGCAAGTGTGTAAAATGGGTCTCACACCAGACTCATTTCTTTGTATGTACCTCATGCAAGCATTTTGTGACTTTTTGTTCTTAAGATGTTCAAGCGGCTGTTCAAATGGGTTGTCAGAGATGACTGATTCATTTCGTCGACATGTAAATAAATGTTAGCTCAGCTGCCTCAGCAAGCCTGAGAGCAATTCCTGATTTACAGACAGGGAAAAAACACTAATTTGCACTAGAGTCATGCAGCGGCGGAAATTGCTTCACTGACAGCCTGCGGTGGAGAATTCGAGGGCTGAAACTGGGTAATTTAGAGATATGAAGAGATCGACCCTCAGGGGTGAAACGGCTTTGAAACCCCCTCAATGCTGCCGTGTCTGACTGACAGCTGCTGCGTCAGGGAAAAAACAGGGGTTAGCAAAGCAGCTAAACATGTGACAGCATTTTGAACAGCATTTTTTCTGAAAGGCAGACGACACTTAATCATAAATGAGGAGGTGGCGTGAATATAAGACCAACATCTTGTTCACCAGTTGCTAGGCTAACACATTTTTAGGCCTGGGTACACTATTTGCTGTACACAGTAAAATGACCAGTGTTGAATGAATATCTATAGTACCTATTAAAACCTACAGCACAGAATAACTGCAGTGTCAAATTAAAGGGGGATTCCACCAATTTTTTTCAAAATTTCAGCATAATTCAATCATTGAGATGTAAACAAAGTCATTCAGAGTGGTTTGGTGTGAAATGGTTGATTGTAGAGACTCAAAATTCTTTACAGTGGTGGTGATAGGAACCAGGGGTTGCCATGTCTACAACAGAAATATAGCCATTTTATTCACTATACAAAACCACCAGTGAACCTACACGTGTTCTGAATAATGTTGATGATGGTAAAATGGTGGTAAATCACAAAAAATAAGCTTTCTTTGGGAACTTTACCTTACACATAACTTTCCACCATGGATGGATCATTTCCAGAGTGGCACAGTAGTTGTAACAGTCCTATTACAGTAATGTTCCAAAACTGTAGTCTTGTCATTGGCCAGCTTGTTCTCTTTCACTGCAGAAACATACAAATGTTTAGCCGCCTAAAGCACCTATGGCTGCATGAGAGCCAAAGGACTGCAGTGAAGTCGCGAAGCAAAAGAAAAGGACACGTTTACTGACTGAATGCCTTCCTCCTGCAGTCACGACTCTGTGCTGAAGAGAATAGTGAATGCATGCAAATGGATTCCCTTCCATGACACTGACACACACAAACACACACACACACACACACACATCACTAAATTTGTATTCTCCATTTGGATCCACGGTTTGGTGCAGTGTGAATCCCCCCGAACCACCAGAGACACAGATACAGGAAACACATACACATGGGCACATATGAACACATATGCATACATGCACTCATCCTCCTCACAAACATCAATTAAAACTGCCTCTAGAGATGGCAGGCCTTGTTTGCCAGGTGGTTGGGCTGCTGTTGATGGGAGTTCAGCTAATAATAAAACACCATGCCAACTGTAGAAACTGGTTCGCTCGTGTGTGAGTCAAGGACCACACAAATTTGGAACAACCCGCAGGTTTATTCAGGAACAAAGAAAAGAAAGGAAACCCAGTTAGTAAGGTTGACGTTCCATGGCTCTACTACAGTGACCGGACTTACACAGAAGAAACCCGAGCACTCTGATTGGCCTAGACGCAAAACACATGTATGTACGGTGGCCCATAATGAACAAACAGGATAATCATTTACCCAAATGATCTACACCAACTAAGCACCAGTTAGGGACTCCAAATGCATGACAGGCAGACAGTTGTTTAGTTTTAGTTTGTTTTAGTTTTCAGACTTTCACTCTCTTTACCTGTATGACCCACAGAGAAGTTCGGCATAAACATGCCATTTCATATACTTACCTTCCACATTATTAGAAACCTCTACCATGTACTTCCACTCACTGGCCACTTTATGAGAAACAGCTACATTGTACTTCCACTCACTGGCCACTTTATTAGAAACACCTACCTTATAGTTCTACTAACTGGCCACTTTATGAGAAACAGCTACATTGTACTTCCACCAACTGGTCACTT